ACACACACACACACACACACACACACACACACACACACACACACACACACACACACACACACACACTGAGCAGACAGAGAGATGAACATTGGGCTCTTTGTGCACTGAATACTGAAGGAGGGATGAAGCAAGTGCATGAAACTATGACCCCCAGAACTCCTTTTATCTTTTCCACATCTGGAGCACCCATTGCTGCAGCAAGCACACATCCATCATCCACTAGTGTGTGCGTGTGTGTGTGAGAACTCTACCTACCCACTGTGCACAGCAGCAGAAGAACACAGCACACCACAATGGAGACCACGATGGCCAGCTCGCTGCCGCCGAGCTGCACTCTGGCGATAGTTTTATGGAAGTTCCCTACTTGCACCTAGAAAAGAAAAAAAAAAACATGTTTGCTGAAACTGGGTCACAATCCTTCAAACCCTGCCTTCTCTTATGTCTCCTTTAAGGGGACTCTGAAACATCACAGATCTTATAATAATCACATCTATACTTATTTTTGGGAGACTGTTTTTCTTGTTTTTACCACACACCGTCATAAAACAGGGACAGTCGTGTACATGTTTTAGTTTGTATCTAAGAAAGTGAAACTAAGATCTGTAGCAGTGCATGAGGTCATTGTTTAAAACTTTGTGGGCAACATGAATATTTCCAAGGAATGATGGGCCTCCATATTACCAAGAAGTAGCCCACACACCATCTTACTTGACAAATTTTAACATACCTAGCCATAAAGCAGATAAGATTGTCTCACACATTTAGCCTTAACATCTCTTTGAACTTTGAAGAAAAACTTTAACAGTTCTGTTCAGAGTCATTATAAGAGGTCATAATTTTATAAATTAAAAAATATGAAAATTAAACATGAAAGGAATTTATTTCATATTTGCAGTATTTTAGCAAATGGAATCATTAAATCATAAAACTAAATCATTTCACTTAATAAGGCAGGTTTTATTGAGACATTACTTATTATAGGTATTTTAACATGGTAACTAGTAATTTAACGCATTACCTGTCAAAACAAACTTTGGCTACACACACATATCATGCATCTTCAGCTCACAACAAGCCCAGAAAACTGCTAAAAATAGCACCAATATTTTTGTGTGAGCAGTTGTTAAAACGTCATCTTCAGGTAATTGTAAACTTGTACAAAGACTTTAACAGCAAAGCACTAAATGGGCTTTAAAGTGAAAAAAAAATGATGTTAGCAGCAATAAATATAACTGCAGCTGACTTAATGAAATGAAATCCCGAAATAAACCTCTCAAGAAATGCAACTCTTCTCAAACTGATTTAATTTTAGCTGCCATCCCTGGGTACTTGCTTGACTAACAATAACCTTTTGTTGTCCCGTTTTTAAAGCTCTGCAATTCATCACGCAGCCTGTAAAGCAAATTTAGGAAATAAAGATAAAAGCTGAAGGCTTTTAAAAAAGACAGCGAAGTTATTAAGAAGAGCAACATTAAAGGAGATGTATATACCCATTTTCAGCTCGATAGATTTTAGTACAGAACTGTGGTAGAGAGCCTTGAATGATTCATAGTTTATATTCGTTCTGATTTTGGAGCTTTACACGGTTCATCTTTAGTCTGGAAGAAGCTCTTTGAGCTCCCGTTTCTTTTATAGTGATAGCTAAGATCTTTTGAAGTGGGATTCTGTGGAAAGATTACGAACAATCAATATCTTCCCTGTTGTAGACAGCTCTTTAAACAACCATACTTTGGAGGAAAAAGCTTTGTTCTGACCAGACTAACAAGCTAATGGCTCTAGTCCCTGCAGGGTTAAGGTTGAAGTGGATCACTGATGGCACTCCAACCATAAAATTTTCATATGAAAGGTATTTTGTAAGCCTTTTTTATTTCTTTTAAAATCATTTTAGCTTAAATATTTTGATTCCTGTGGGAAGTTCTACAGACAGAAGGTGCTACAGCTGGCTGCTATTTTCCTGACACATCAAATATGTAAATTACTATTTAAATGCTAAACTGCCAAATATATAAAAGTTTATGAAATAGAAATTACAGGAACTGCTATGAAGTGTTTGTCTTGGCCCCACTTGGACTAGCCATTAGCTCATCAATCTGATAATTTTTTTTTACTTTTTTATCTATTTAGATTCAGGCCATTTAAGAATGAGCTACAATATTTTACATGTTCATGACTTTTCCACAGAACCTGATTACAAATGATCTCTACTATCTTTTTGACTCCCAGGTTTAGCCTTTTTTCCCAACGTTTTGAACTTTTGAACACAATCTGTAAGCACACCAACTAACATATATTATTTATTGACTGTGAAAACCAACATGTCATATCTGATTCTTTAAAGTTCAAGCAATAATTTGATATAAAAACTAAGAAATATAACAAATTGTCTATTTGGCTATTTGATAAATATTACATTTTTACAGTCAAACTGTGGAATATTGGTTCAACTAGACTTGTAATAGCATTAATTTGTCTGAAAAAGAAGATGTTGGACTTTGTAGACTGTGGAGGAGACAACTCTAGAAAGAGTTTAATAAAAAAAAAAAGAACATCCCTTTGAAGCCTGAGTTTAAAACTCACTTAAATAATTTAACAGATGTTTTAAATCCTTGACTTATAAAGTATTACAAGAAATATTTAAGAGACAAAAAAAAACCCCAAGTAAATTAGGTGTCCCTACATTACTTTGTAACAAGCCTACCACATATGCAGATAAACATTTCCCACCAGGGACGCAGACGCCTGCACACACATGCAAGCCCATTCATTTTGTCATGGAGACAGGTGCACACATGCAAAAGAAATAATAAAAATATACACATTGTAGATTTTGAAAAATGTTCTCCCACTGCAAAGAGCTGGTAGAGGCACTCAGTTCAAACTAACCCAGATGTGACAAGGAAAAAAGTTTCACTTCTGCCTTTTTGATAAGTCAGCAGGGACTCTGTGGTCTCTGCTCACATCATTCCCTCTGCTTCACCTACATACTTAATAAAGACAGACCCGGATAAAAAGCCTCCAGTCCTCAGACCAAATCCTTCTTGGAGTGGTCTTATAGTAAGAGAAACAACTTCACTGTGTTTCCTCATCGTCAACATTCCCTACTTTCTTTCGTAGTTAGGGCATTTATTTCCATGAAGCAGCAAGGGGAGGCCCTCTTCCAGAAACTGCACCAACATGACCTGGTGTAATGGAGGGGAAAATGCCATTGCTCCACGTTCCTGTTTCGCTCCGGGCAGAGGCACGTAAAAATAGATCTGCCACTGAAAGCAAGTAGAAAAAACACAAACGGCCACGAGCTCTGCCTCAGCGCGTTTATTAAAACGTGCCGACACAAAGGAAAATATAAGTGTTCCCTGTCTTTACGACCCTGTCGCGTCTGACCCCCTCGCCCTGCGGTGCTCGCATGGGCGAGCTAGCCCACCCATTTGTGTTATGACATCTCATCTGACCTTTGCCCCGCCTCCATGCCTGTGCTAAGTGCTTGTGTTTATTTCAAGAGGTCCTGATTGACAGATGAGGTGGGCGGGCACCTGAGCATGCCACAGGTACACCAAGAGAGGGGAGGGGAAGTCAGAGAGCCTTATTTCTGACTGAAATGGGTTTAAAAACATGAAGAGGGAACAACATGAAATGTATAGCTTGGTGTGGCTTCCAGGCCTAAAAACACTGCACCAACTGTCCAGCATGATGGTGGTAGCATCATAATGTGGGGCTGGTGCATTGTACTGTATAATGTGGATGGAAGAGTTTAGATGAAACACAATTAGCTTCACCTCAAATCAACAGCTAGCTTGTTGAAGCTTGGACAATAGGTGACAATGATCCCAAACATCTGTAAGAACTGATTTCTGAATGAATGAAACGGGCTAACATTAAGTTTCTGGAAGGACTTTCCTAAAGCCCTGACCTCAACCCTACAGAAAATGTATGGGCTGTCTTTAAAAACCATATCTATGCAAAATGAAAAATAAATAAATAAATAAATAAATAAATAAATAAATAAATAAAACTACCCAAACACATGGTAACAATACTGTCTAAAGAAATCATCAAATATTCATCCACAATGAGGCCAGAAGCTTGTTGATCGAAACACAAAGCCTGGGGTCGAGGTGCAAATTCCTAGTGGACGTTCAATATTAGAGCATATATGGTTTTAAGCCTGTATTTGTGATTTAACCCAGTGTGTATAAGGAATAATGCACAATTATTTCAAACACAATTCTTTTTTTTTAATCACTGCAGTGTTTTACAATTTGTTTACCCTGGAAAAAACATAGTGGTTAAAATAAATCATTAAAACCCACGATTTTACATGTTCTTTATGCCATGTGTGTGCAAACGTATGACCAGAACAGTTTCTGGAGCTTTTCAGCAAACTACGCCCAGTTTAGCTCACATTTAAATACAATTGAGATTTTATCCTTCACAAAGCTCCATAAAAACAGACCAGAATGGACAACAGATGGAATCGAGAGATGGGCAAAGGAAGGAAACTATTTGGTTTTATCAGAGCTGCATTAGGCTGATTTACATCTTAACTTAGTAAGTTGGAAGAAAAAAGAAGAGAGAAATCATCGCTGACTTTGATGAACTGAGTATCAGTGTGACTAGAAGGTGTCTGCAGTGATAGATGGGGTGACAAAGGCCACAACAAACAATTGATTAAATACTGTGTGTCAGTGTTTTGTTGTTTCTGTCACTGAGTGACCGCTCACCACCTGAATAATGTCACGGCAGCATGCTCAGAAACCACGGACCATTCATAATTCATGTGAAAGCAGCACAGACATCTTTACTTAGAGAGCATGGGCTCCAGCACGTCAAATCTGTTTCGGTTAATATCACAGATGGTGCCGGTTCTGACTAAATATTTGGCTTTAATAACTAAATGACAGATGGGTGATGAGCTTAAATTATCAGGGCCTGTCGAGAAATATTTTCAAGACGGGGGTTAGATGTGCGTGTTGGTGTTGTGCTGCCGTGCTTTGCATGTTTTCATACTCACAGTGACGGGCAGCTCGCTCTCGCTGGAGCTCAGCAGTCCGTTGATGGTGCAGTGGAACAGCTGGTCATTATGGAAGCTGATGTTGCAGGGATAGGGGCCAATCATCACTGAGTATTCCTCCAGCTGCAGCTCCAGGTCGCTCGGCACTTTCTGCTCCAGAACAGATAACATTCATGTAGGGCTTCAGCTATGGCAAGCCATTTGTACACTTATTCAGTCCGCTTGATATAAGTGTGTTGTTTTATCCCACTGGTTATCAACTACTTTGTAATAGTTGCACATTTGGTTGCACAGGTTCAAATAACACTGCACTAGCTATAAATACTCTTATTAGCAGGACCTTTTTGCCAATTAATAGCACTTAATGGGATAAGCTCAGCAGTCCCAGCTAGTTGTTTTTTTTATGCACTAGTGAACCACTGGACTAAAATAGTTGACAAATATGTTGTATAAGTTTGCTAATAAGTGTCAAAAACCCTTAAATGTTACCTGGCAAACATTAGTCGAGTAGTTCACGTTTTTTATGTACTAGTAAACTTTTAAGTAGGGGTGTCCTGACACCAGGTTTTCTCAAATTGAGTATGACTATTACAGTTTGGGTACTCATGATACACACTACTGATAACAAGTACTTACTGAATTAAAACCTAAAACCATTTTATTACAGTTTTTATTTAATTTATTTAACTAAAATGTTTGTTCAATTTCAGTTTTCGTTATGTAGTTAGTTTTAGTTAACTATAATAACTTTGATCTCAATATCCATGCTCATTTCGGTAACGAGTATCGGGGCATTTTGATGCTTAGTTGTATAAAAGCGGGTATTGGGTAAGCACTACTATTAAGGCTAAACTAGTCATCTAGGAAGCAGTCTGGGCGTTACTAGTTAAGTATGTGCACTACTTTACTTGTTGACATTTTTAGGTGTACTAATTAACTCGTAAGGAGAAAATTTGTGAACATGCAAATGTTTTTTATGATCATCAGTTAACTTGTACAACACAGTGGCAGACTGGCTTTGTTCAGCGGTCAGCAAACTAGTTGAGACCTTTGGGGCACTAGTGCAGCAAAACTGCTGCGTAGTCCCCCTTCATCTCCATCAAATGTGCCAGTTGTTGCCTAGAAGTCTTAACTAAGAGGGTTTGTTGAAGCTGTGCACCAAAATGTCGAAGTAGTGCAAGCAAATGAGCAGCAATGTAGCTAAGAACTAGTGGGGGGAAATAAAATCAAATACATACACAAACATCTGCCGTACTCAACCCCCATATGTTTGCAGTCATACCCATCCACATGAGCACAGAGAGAAGAAAGGCAGCTGAAAACTGATCCAATCTGGGCTGCAGTTCAGCTTAAAGCAGCAAACATTCCTGCTGACTGAACTCAAAGGAAAGTTTCTCCAAACAAACACTGATAGTCATCCCTGCCTGGTTCAATGCAACATCTTCAACTCCTTTACTGTTATAATAAATGTGCCCTACTTCCACCCAACCACCCCCATCTCACTACTGGGAGTGATATTAATTAAAGGGACACTCCCCTGATTTTACACTTCATGTGTGACAGTGAGTCATGTGGAGTTGTAGCAATCGGGCTGTAATGTAGCAGGACTGAGTCTTCAGAAGCTCTACAGTGAGTTTTCTACAGCTGGGTGGTAGTTAGCTATCACGGGATAGCTGCTTTACACAATGTAGGTCTGCAAAGTGAGCCATGTTTATCTGGAAGTAAAGATTTAGGAAAACATTTAATAAGGTTTCACTGTAAAAAAAATTGAACTTCTGAAGTTGTTTTTCCATATATAGCTTTCATACAATAGATCGTATTAATTTGTTTAAACATTATTAAAATTATAAAGCCATCAGTTTTATATTTTTTCTTTCTGCCCCAAAACTATCATGAGGTAAAATCCTGGAATAGCCCTTTAATATGGATACAATACATTTCTTAGATTTTATGAATTTCTAGTTAGAAAGTTTTATTTCAGAGGACAGTCATATCAGCCTTACGGGGACATTTTTATTGGGTCCTATTTTTACAGCCGTACAGTTTTATTGCCTGGATGCTCCCCTGTGTGGGCGCTCGCCCTTCAGGCTCGGGTCGTCGAACAGAGGTGTGAGAGCTTGAAGGTTCTGCTCTGATGATGGAGATGCTCATAGCTGGGATTAGCATTCTTTGTGTTTTCTAGGTTGCTTTTCAGTTCTTGGTATTTTATGAACTTCAAACTTTTGTTTCAATGTTTTAGCCAGTGTTTGTGTCCATGTTAGCACAATATCTCATCAATCAGTATGTCAGTGTAAGTTAAGATGGTTGTTCTTGTTTAATATTTTGATAATAACTATTGGAGCCAACATTGTCTGTCTATTAGCAGAATACCGTACATATCACTGAATAAAATTCAATGAAATGTGTGATAAATTTAATTTAATGGTAATTTATTCTCAGTCTGGGTCTGAAAGTCACATCTGCTGCCAGTAATTCTCCATCACCTTTTGAGTTGTCTCTAAATTTGACTTTAATGCTGCCTTTCAATCCCAGGCACAGATCTCTCTGTATTTCATCCGCTCAGTTTTGGTGTTTGTCTTGTTATGTGCTGGACTGTTTCAAGGTCAGCGTGAACCACAGGTACTAGCTGATGAGTGCTTTCAGACCAACTTTTTCTGCTCTTATATCATGAAGAAAAAAATACCTCGTCATTTTAAATCCCAAACATAAGAGAGCACAACCTCCAACAATGGCACATATTACACAGTCATTGACTGACAGGATAAAATGGAGTCGTTGACGTAAAATCTATTGAACAGTTTGTAAAATCACTCTTAGCAGCAATAATTCAATGTATTCTTCTAAATATGACCTCATCCGTCTTTCAAGTCACTGTGAAGAAAATCTGGCACAAGTTGCTTTACAACATTGCTTCAGTTTACTGAGATTTGCAATCTGAAACATCCAAAGGACTGAGCATTTGCAACCTTCCATTTCATTTGTCTGAATTTTGAATGGAGCGTTGCAACACCTTGACTCTTTTCCTAATCTGCAACTCAGCTGTAGACTTGCTGCGGTGCTCAGGGTTGTTGCATCAGTTAAGCTTTAGCTGTCGGACAGATGGCCAAAGTTCTGAGTAACATACTTTGCTATGAAGATGAGTTCATCGGCAGCTCAAAAGAGCCACAAATTATCACCACTCTTGTCAGACAATATGAGTTATTGTGTGCTTCACATTTCCTTTCATAGTAGACTTGGTTGATGATACTTCCTGTACTGTGTGGTATGAAGGAGTCCCCCTTCATCTTTTCATAAAAGAGCTTTTGACTCATTTGGCTAAGTACATTTCAACTTTTGAAAAAAAAAGGAGGTTTACATGTTAGGAAGCTTTAGTTGCTACATTTATTCCACTTTGGTCGAGCTTACTGTCAAATTAAAGCTGCACTTTAAGCATGTAATCATTCTATGACCTTTTTTTTTACATGTTTGATGCTACAAAAACAAACGCTTTAACTGAAGTTGCTTTCTGATCAGAATGTATGAGATGGGTGAGTTAAGTTTATCCTGTAAGAAAAGTGAGACAAACATACACATCCTGGTAATTTGAAACCAAAATAGGTGATCTGTTGCACTAAAGAGGACAAAAATGGTGTATTTCCAATTTTTAAGCTATCTGGGACTTTTTTGAATGTCTCTAATGAAGTAAAATATCTTGACCATGTGTTGACATGTCTGATGATGAGGACATTTACCGTCAAGTTCATATGATATGCTCAGGCAAATATCCTTGTCCGTAAGTTTGGACTCTGTTCTGATGAAGTGAAAACGAACTTGTTCAGATCATATTGTACTTCTCTGTATACGGCACATTTGTGGTGCAATTTTAAAAAAGCCGGTCTTCATAGATTGAATGTGGCTTATAATGATGCACTAAGACTTTTGTTAAATAAGCCCAGATAGACCAGTGCCAGTGAACTGTTTGTATCTGCTCATGTCAGCACATTGATGGTTGTTTTAAGAAAGTTTATGTACAAATTTATTTGTCGTTTAAATGTGTCTAATAATAGAATTATTTTACAGTTGACTAATGTTACATATAGTGCAGTAAAACACTCATTTGTGCTTTGGAAGCATTGGTATGACTGCCTCCTGAATGGTTAGGAACCTTTTTGTACTTTTTTATTCTTTGTTTTTTTATCTTCTTTTTATGCAAATTGGACCTTGAGTCTGTAATAAAGTCTGTCTATCTATCTATCTATCTATCTATCTATCTATCTATCTATCTATCTATCTATCTATCTATCTATCTATCTATCTATCTATCTATCTANTCTATCTATCTATCTATCTATCTATCTATCTATCTATCTATCTATCTATCTATCTATCTATCTATCTATCTATCTATCTATCTATCTATCTAGTTCTTTCCTGATTCTTTTTTTTTGACAAACCTGGTGGTCAGATGATGGCACCGTAGTTTTTGGGTTTTTGCAATTAACCGGGTGTACACAACATTATGATTGTTATGACTGCTAATTAGAGCGATGGCCAGACATTCAAAAAAATACTGGCCTGTACTCTGTATGAGGCTGCAATTTCCCTTCGATGTAATTAGGCCAAGTGAGGAAGCGTGTGTGTTTATCACCAGAGTTTCCTTTCTGTGATTACACCCTAAGGGTCCCTCCTGCAGGATGCAGCCTCCCGGGTCTTTGTCAACAAGTGCTTCCTCACAACAGACACAAAGAACATAAACTAAAATACAAAAGTGATTGGGCGTAATGCAAACATGATGCAATCCTACATCTCTAATATTAACACAAACTTTAGTCAGGTTGCAAAGAACTTCATTATAAAGTTTAAAGTATAATAAAAGCAGAGCCTGCACACATTCCACCTCTGCAGACTGGATGAATACCAAGCTGCTTAATAAAACGCTTTCTGTCTCCAGCCTCTCTCTCTTCCCCCCCCCTCAGGTCCACCACCACTGGATTCCACCTTCCTAAAAATATAATCAGGAAACAACAAAGGAGTCGCCCGTGTCGACAGTCTGAGGCGGCAGACCCGCGGTGGTCTCCTCCCAGAACACGCCAACACAGAAAGAGGAAGTGGCCTCGCGTTCCAACTCCACATCTGTGTCGTTCACTTACACGCGCCACATGGCGTCACAGCCAGTGGCGCTTCGGGGGTGATGAATGCAAGCAGACAGGTGCTTAGATCAGCCAGAGCGTACAAACGTGAGACGTCACGCTGAGCTGCCCCCGCCCCCCCCCCCACACACACACACACACACCTCACACCTCCAACAGAAATCAACATGTTTAACAGGACAGGGCCTTTGATGTGTTTTTATGAGCCTCTGGTTTAGGAGAATATGAATAAGGACACAGTCAGCTAAAGTCTGCAGCACACAGTCAGGGTTGTCATGTTGTTGGCAGGGATGCTTTTGGAAAAAAAAAACAGAAAAAAACAAAACAAACCAAACAACAGTCATCCAAAGCTTTGAGTTGAATGTTTCATTCCTAAAATGTTTCGGTCAGAGGTTTGATTTTATTGGAAAATATTCATACTTTTAATCTGATTACGCTCTATAAACCATAAATTATAATTATTTGATGGATTTGTAATTAGTTAATGAGTCACATTTGTGAAATGACTGTAAGAACAGCAGAATTTGTTGGCTGACTGGTTCATCAGCGACAATAATTTTGTTTCTCATCAACCGCAGAGCCAAACTTCCAAATAAATCACATACCCGTCACTGTCCAGTGGCTCATGACATATTTCTCTGACAGACAAACAAACACAGGTAATTACATAATCACCAGCCTTTCATGACAATTATTATGAGCAAACTAACATTAGGAGCTAAGCATTATACCTGCTTAGTATTACCATAATAAAAATTAAATTTAATGTAAGCAGAGCATCACTAAGTTCTGTTTGATCATAGATTCTTGGACTAAACTCTGTGTCTTCAGCATTTGTCCTCATTAATGCAACACAAATTGTAAAATATTGACAGAGTCCAAGTGCAAACATGTACCGTAATCCTTGAGAAAATAATGAAATTAATCAATTTTCCTGCCGTCTTTGAGATGGTTTGTTCATTTTGTCTCACATTGGCCACATAAAATCTGATCTGCATAATAAGTGATTTACTCATCACGCAGACTGAAAAGATAAAAAGAAAGCCATCCTCCATAACATCACCTATTGGACTGTGGGAAACAGGAATGTTCTTCAGACTTGTCAGGAGTCCTCTGAACACTGCCAGTGAGTGAAGACCAAAGGGCCAGGACAATGCTGTTGTGTTTGTTGCTTGACTTTTGCTACGGGTAGCTTCTAATTAGCCTTTTGCTACTTTAGCTAGCAAGTTGCTATTTTTAGCTACTATTCAGCTGGCCTATACCTCACTTGCAAAAGAAACCTGCGATCTGAATGGGATTTGTTTGGTTAAATAAAGGTTAAAGAATAAAATAAAATAAAATAGCCACTTTTGTTAATCTTTTGCTCCTTAGCCTTTTGCGTATAAGCTTCTAGCTAACATTAAATTAGTTTTAGTTTTATTTATTTCTTTGATACATTTAGCTTTTAGTTGATGTTTTATTGCTTTTCACAACCATTTTTATCCTGTTAAGTTTTTTAGGTAATATCTTTGCTTATTTTAGCTTTAGCTAGTGCTTTGCTCCTTTAAGCTTTTAGTGATTGTTCCACCTTTTTTAGCTTCAAAAACACAATTTCAGCTTCAGCAGAAGGCAGAAAAGTCTTTCATCACCCACCATTCACAGTTTATTTTAAAAAAGTGCTATTTCCCCCAGTTAATCATATCACTGCAGTGTCACTTACATTAATGATGAGCGTCAGCGGCTCTCCTGAATGGTGTTTTATCAGCTTCTCCTTGTTGGCGGTGAAGAACTGAGGGTCCTCCACATACTCCAATAGGAATCTACCCTTTTGAGGTTCCCCATTTTCCTCCTCTGCCTCGTTTTTAGAGGAGGACGGGCTGTCCCCAGTGTAGATGACTCCATTCAGGATGAACTGCACAGAGGTTTCCTCGGACTGACTGGAGGACGGGGATGGGCAGGTGATGGTGGTGGGGGAGAGCACGGCACAGGGCTGTGGAATACAGGTTATACTCGTTTCTTGTACACTCACTTATTAAATGATTAAAATAGAGTTCTCTGCGGAAAAGAAGACAACTTTATTGATTGCTCACCGTTTGCCCAATTTCCAGTACCTCCATGGTGACGCTCTGCACCAGGTCAAAACCCTGACCGGTGACAGTGATGGTCCTGCCACCACTGAGGAACACACAAGAACAGAACCAAGACTCAGCCCGGGAAGAAAATGAGCAAAACTCTCAACAAGAGATCTAGCATTTCTTGAAGGTATGCTTATTTCCTGACGCCTTTTATTCCAGCGTCTTAAACCTAAATAGTTTTATGATGACATGGGATGGAGTCACAGCCATCAAGCTTTGGAACAGACGTCATGAACGATCGCATCCAATGACTACTCTGACATTTCAGTAAAGTCTGTCCAGTGCTTCATGAAATATTTTGCTAACATGAAGACAAAGAAACTCAGAAGCACAGGCAGACTCTTGCCTTTTCAGCCTCTGGTTCATAATGAACCACGTTTACAGTAAACATGTCAAAGGTTTGCCACAGCCCTGTCATGGTTTGTTATTTACACCAGAGCAGGATAAAGAAAAGCCTCTCACTCCTGATGAAGAACTGGGAATGAGTCCAAGAGAAATGTTAATGCTTGCGGTGCACGTAGCAGTCTGCTCACCTGAGGAAGGTCTTTTTCGGATGGATGGAGACAATAGTGGGGTTCTTCTCGTAGGTGTAAGTGGTGCTGAGCTCCAAACCATCACAAGGACGGTCCTCAAACTCCACACACACTACCACTGACTCAGCGTGCGCCTGCAGGGCTGGAGGCATGATGCATTCAATGGTTTCATCTGTTTTCCTTAAAAAAAAGAAAGAAAAAAAAGAGGTAAACATCGTTACCACATAACTCGCTCCATCTAAAAATGTTTAATCCTAAAAACGTTTCCACTTACAATTAAAAGTCATTTTTTATTGCAGCTTGGCAGACTTTCACAGAAGTCATGGAGCTATTTTGGTATGCGCTATGGCAACAAGTAAAAGTGCTGAATTTAATCTTGTGAGCAAGATATGTGGGCCTCGCGAAGCCATTCAACATGAATATTTAATTACCACTTCATGCATTTAATATCTCCTGTTAAAAAAAGACTGTAGAAAGCAAATGAAACAAGTCCAAACACTTTGTAAATTTAATGGGGGTGAATTCAAATTCATTAAGACTTTCCACTTCAGGCAAATCCAGGTCAAGTTTCAAAGATCTTCAAACAACAAACATGTTTAAATTAAAGGTCATCACTCGCCACCTTTCATGGCAGAGATTTGGGCTAAAAACTTACTGTATATTATTATTATTATGAGGCTGGAGCTATAGCTGTTGTGATCAACATTTGTAAATATGTTCATCTCGTGTGTTTCTGTGAGATATTATCAGCGATAATGATCTGTACTCACTCTGTGATGTTGCATTCCAGTGTGTTGTTGACCTTGACTCTAACCTGAGAGCCAATATCCAAATGTTTCCCAGTAAGGATGACTCTGGTTCCTCCGGCACGAGAGCCTTTTTCTGGCGCAATGGACTGCAGCTTTGGAACCTGCATTTAACCAAACAAGACAAACATCAGATTTATCATTAAGCAACTGACATCTTCTATCACTGGAAGAGGCGGGTTTATTGTATAAATACTGGCTTTTATCTACCATTCTTTAACTTTGAATTTTTAGCTAATGCTTCGATACTACAGCTTTTAGATAGTGTTTTGCCAATTTTAGCTTTTAACTACCATTTAGCTATCATTCAGTACCTTTTAGGCAGCTTTTGTTATTTTTAGCCTTCAACTTTCATTTTACAATATTTTTTTTAAGTTAGCCTTTTACTACATTTGTCTTTTAGCTAGTATTTTATTACATTTAGCCTTTAATTAGTATTTTGTTACTTTTAGCAAGTCTCTTGCTACATTTGCTTTTAGATGACCTTTTGCTATTTATAGTTAGCATGTTGTTAATTTAAGCTGACGTTTTGCTACTTTTAGCTACCATGTTGCTATTTTAAGCTGACATTTTGCTACTTTTAATAGCATGTCGCTACTTTAAACTGACCATTTGCTACTTTTAACTACAATGTTGCTATTTTAAGCTGACATTTTGCTACTTTTAGATAGCATGTTGCTACTTTAAGCTGATCTTTTGCAACGTTTAGATAGCATGTTGCTACTTTAAACTGACCTTTTGCTAATTTTAGCAAAAATGTTGCTACTTTAAGCTGACCTTTTGCTACATTTAGATAGCATGTTGCTACTTTAAGGTGACCTTTTGCTAATTTTAGCAAAAATGTTGCTACTTTAAGCTGACCTTTTGCTACTTTTAGCTAAGATGTTGCTACTTTTAGATTTTAGCTGACCCTTTGCCACTTTTGCTTCAAGATATTGTTTAGCTACTTTTGGCTTTTAGTTAGCCTTTGACAATTTTAGCTTTTAGTTAGTCTTTGGGTACTTTTAGCTAGTGTTTTGCTTCTTTCAGTTTTAGCTTCTTCAGCAAAGTCATTCAGCACTCCGCATGCTCATTGCGTTTTCACAGGAAATGTAGTTTCTCTAGCTCAAACTGGATTTTTGCTCTATGATTTTTATCTTGGCACCAAATAAAAGACTTTCCTCACTGTCTGAAGTTCAAATGTCCAGCGTTTACAGATTGGCTGAGACAGCTGCTGACTACAGCAGTAATTTATTGAAGAAAACTGTGAAGACAGCCCACGCTGTGTTACGTTACTCTGCTGCTAAAGCCAACAGGCCTTTGGGCCACAGATAGCCGCGCTGTGGTTACATGAAAACCTGCATGTTCACACCCTCTAACTTACACATATGGAAACACATTCACACCACTCAAAAAAAAAAAAAAAAGAAAGAAAGAAAGAAAGAAAATCCTTGGGCAAGGATGATTATCCCCACTCAAATCTGCAGCTACCAGAATCAGCACTCCTTTCTGAACATTCAATCCACTGCATGACCCCCGCCTCCAGGGATGCCTCTTGCTGACAGGATTCACTTCCTCAGTGAGTGGTGACGGGGCACACCTATTGTGTTTTTAGCTTGTCAGTGTGGCTGTAAAGAGGCAGATGTTTCCGTTAAAAGTCTGGAGGAAGGAGATGCAGTTAGAGACACATATCCTGTCTCCAGAAATGCTTTTTTTTTCTCTCTCTCTCTCCTCCTCAACTAAAACTAAGTAACCTAAAGAAACACAAGGAAGTCAAAGGAGTTCCCACAGCTGTTTCTTTTCAATGTTTGTTATCCTCTGCTGCCGATCGCGAGAATGTTATTAGTGTCTGTATGCGTGGCTGTCATGTCTGTTAGCGGAATATCTCATAAACCAACAGACAGCTTTGTGTGAAACTTTCCTAAACTAATACTTGAATGTACATCTGATTGTGATTAACTTATTGGGCCAGCTACAAGCAACCTTAGCAAACACCTCTCCAATATGTAAATTGGGGGTGGGCAATGTGCATTCCTGCAGGAAATGCTAGGTCTTTATTTGTTTTAGAGTTCCTTCAAGTTCTGAGATGAGGATTGTTTCTCTGTGGGATGATTCACAGATAGAAGCTGTGAAATGATAGAATGTTTTCACCTCTGAAATATGAAATACTCTCTGTGAACAAAGAGAAACAAAGGGCTCATAGGGGTATTTCCACGGGTTAAATGTTCCTGCTTCAGTGAGAGCCTGTGTGGGTTGAGGTTAATAAACACAATGCTAGCTAGGTTTCCTCAGTCTGCGATGAATTTGCAGCAAAGGGACGTTCCAAAAATCACCATGTTTGTTTTTGTTGGCAGAGAAAGCTAAATGACAATAGCTCTTAGCTCAGATGGACGTTTGAAGATTCCCACCAGTGTGCCTCTGAATCATAAAATGCATTTGTTAACACTCAGCTGACACTTGGGAAGGCTTCCCCCAGCAAACAAGGGAGTGAGAGAGAGAGAGAGAGAGAGAGAGAGAGAGAGAGAGAGAGAGAGAGAG